TGAATTTCTCTGTGCAAGAAACACCTATCTCTGAATGCTTTCATAGCTGTAACGCATTGTAAAGCATTCAAATAAATGCATTACAGTTTGAAGAGATCGGTGTTTCTTGCACAGAGCAATTCATATAATAAATAGCATATAGTATTGAATATATTTATGGTTATCGTTAATGTATTATTTTGTGTGTGAGATTTAAATAGATATTATAGCCCTTTGTAAGTAATCTCAATGGATTATCTAAGTATAGGCTATATTTTAAATTAATGTTAATGAAACTACAATTTGCATATTTAAAAAATAAAAATCAATTATGGTAAATTCTGAAACTGAATGATGCACTCAAATAATTATAGTAATTTGGTTTCGTTTCGTAACATTAATTATACAGATTTATTTCACAAACAATACTAACTTTGCTTTTATAACAAAATTATAAAAATTAGTTGTCGTTAGTTTTCAAGTGCTTTAATGGGATATTTAAGTGTTTATAATGAATATATGCATAAATGTAACAATGTTTGCAACATTTCATATTAAATTGTACTCAAAATCGTATTAAGTTAATTCACACTTGCACATATTTAATTCAATAAAAGCGTTATCTAGCTTAATTTAATTTAGTATTTTTATTGCCATTGAGGAACAGTTTTTATTAATTTTTCAGAGTATTTATTTGGTATAGAAAAAAATTAATGCCTACATAAACGGAAACCCCTTAGACTTGTAGACTAAAGCTATTAAAGAGATGTGTTATAAGAGTTAACGGAAATTACTTCTTGTGATACAAATATCTATCAATTTTTGTTTTACTCCGATTGCAGTGAAACTGATCTTCACGATAGTAATGGTGGCGCTTTCGGTCACAGTTATCATATCATCCATTATACTCATCATTGGTGTCCATGTGGTAAGTGATGGTCTCTTTCATATAATTATATACACATTAATTATTAATCAAATAATAAATATAAAAATAGATCCAATTTTGACAGGTAATTGTAATTATATGTACAATAAAATAATGCATATTATATTGCATTACATAACATGTATGTGAGAGGCAAGTGTTATATAACACACAGTGTACAGTGTACTGTATATTTAGTATCGGTTGTTTTAATGTATGTAAATTTATACGGGAATTGTCTTTTAGATGATCTGTGAATATCAATGAAGAGCATAGAAAGTGTCGGAAGACGTGATTTAAAATAATGTCAATTGATTTAAGGCTTAAGTTATGCTAATATTTTGTTTTGTGTAAAGAGATAAGGCTTTGCTTTCTTTGTATTCAACAATTTCTTAATTCAATTGCAAAACAATATATACTTTCCATTAAATAATTATTGTCTCAAAAGACTTTCTGCTCAGCAATTGTTTGAAAAACTATGCGATTTAGTTGTAGATAATTATTATTCATAGACTTTATACAGATTATATTAATAGTTATACATGAATATAAATTGAAACTATATTGGTAAAAATAGTGGAAAATATAATAAAACAGGTTAACATTAATGCAAATTAAGTTTAAGTAAATAATAAAATTACTAAATAAATTTAATCATGGTATAATTTCTACTACAGGACAACAAATCGCTTTTAATTCCATGGATAGTAATGGTTACAATAACGACCGTGGCAGATTTTATATTTACATTGTATATTATAATAGAGATGGTAAGCATTATTGTATTAATAGTTGTTTACAAGATTATAACTAATTAATTTTTTCTATAACTAGACAACGGACCCATTTATGGTGATTCTTCACGCAATTGATTTTATTGTCTGTGCCATAAATGTATGTCTAGTTTTTGTAGACAATTCATAATATATATAATAATAATCAATCTCTTTGTGTATTTATAGACATATTGTCTGTTGTGTGTAACGTCTCAGTACCAGATACTGTCCACACAAACGCATAGACATCAGGTAAATATCGCTAAAACAGATTACCGACAGTTTTAATATCTGTAAACAACAAATATGTTGACAGTTATTATCACTGTTCAAGAATCCAAAATATGTTCCCACATCTAAGACCCTATCCATTCATAATTGTAACCCAAGATTCCGGAAAAGAATCCATAAAAACATATTAAAAATTTTGTGGACAAAAATTTCAAAAATATATTTTCAAATTGTTTTTCAATAGGAATTCCAGTCCCATATGAACAGCGATGACGTGAAGATCCAGTGCATAACCAACGACACGTCCACCTGTCAGTTCTCGAACTCAGCCAATAAAGATGCCGCCAACTCTACCTATGGT